TGTGGAGATGTGGGGTGAGGGACACGGGCCAGTGGGGACCTGGCAGTGCTGGGGGATGGGTTGGACTCGGTGACCTCAAAGTTCTTTTTCAACCAAAATGATTCTGAGAGTCTATAAGTGAAGCCCTTGGCCAGGCTGGGGTTCTGTGCCCACTGCCCAGCTCCCACTCCTCCACCAAACACTGGGCTTGGCCTGACTGGGGCTCACTGCAGGCCCCAGGGACACTCACCTCTTCCCATCAGGGTGGAAAGCAACGCTGTTTATGGGACCAAAGTGACCCTTCACTCTGCCAAACTCTTCTTCAAAAGCCAAGTGGAAGAACCTGGGAGAAGGAAGATTTAAATTATCACAAGAACTCAGGAGCCTGCTCAGGGATACAATGAGGGTCCCCTCAAAATAGCTCTGCCAGTCTAATGACTCCTCCAACAGCCCCAGGATGGAGATGCTGTGGGAACAGCCCCCCTGGGCTCTCAGGAGTCCTCCAGGTGAGGACTCAGCCCCACCAGAAGAAAAGGACCAACCTGGCCTCGAATTTGCCAATCCTGGTGGAGGTCGTGGTCACATCCATGGCCTCCTGCCCACCACCAAGCACAACCTGCAACAGAGAGAAGCCACAACACTTGAGTGCTGCTTAGAGCAGGCCCAGGAGTGAGGGAAGGAGGGAGCTGAGCCCTGTGGGAGGCCTGAGTCCCACCCTGGAGAAGCTCCCACCTCCCAGCCACACCCATCTGAAGAGCAGAGCACGCAGAGCCTCTCCCCCTGCCCCAGTCCACAGCAGAGTTCCCCAGCCCCAGGCCACGGGTGTGTTTCTGAGCAGGACTGGTGCCCCTCTGCCCTCTGGGAGGCACAGTGATACCACCCCAGGTGCCAGCCTGTCCTTACGTGGTCGAAGATGGGGGAGAGGGCAGCTGAGTTCACTGGTCTCTCCGTCCTGAAGGTCTTCAGGTGCTCCAGCGTGGTGCAGTCAAACAGCTGGGGGGGCACAGGGAGAGAACCCCTTGGCATGAGCCCTGCCAGCCATGCCAGGCTGGCTCCTGGGCCTCCCTGGGCAAGATGTTCCCTCCACAGTCGCTCACAGGCACCCAACCCCCCCCCCAGATGTTTCCCCAGAATCCCCAAATCCTCCCCTAGGGTCAATCTTGCCTCTAGCACCTTCTGGAGGTAGCAAATAGATTGGGGTGATGTTGTTTTTAATGCCTGGGCATTGAATTAACACGGTGCCACTTCCTCACTGAACTTTCCCACCAAGCTTTGCCTTTCCCCTCACCTCCCAAGGAGCAAACCCCTGTGGCAGCACCAGCTCCGAGCTCCTGCCAGGAACCAAGAACACCCCACCCTGTTCCCAGCTGAGGGGAGGGCTCACCTTGGCCGTGTTGTCCTTGGAGGCAGTGATGAACATGGTCATGTCCCTGGAGGTCTGGATGTCGTTGATTTGCTTGGTGTGCTCCTTGATGTTGGCCAGCTGCTCCCCAGACTGCAGGGCAAAGGTGGCAGCTGCAGCGTGTGCCCACGCGGCTGCCCCCAGCCACACACCCAGCTGCGGCCTGGGCAAGGGGCGCGGCAAGGGTGCCCCACGTCCAGGGGGTTCTCCTCCCCTTCCCCTCTGCCCTAGTGAGGCCACTTCAGGAGGATTGGGCTCAGTTTTGGGCTCTCCAGATTAAAAGAGACAAGGCAATGCTGGGGAGAGTCCAGGGGAGGCTGCAGGGATGCTGAGGGGCTGGAGCAGCTCTGTGCCAGGACAGGCTGAGAGCCCTGGGGCTGTTCAGCTGGAGAAGAGAAGCCTCAGAGGGGATCTGAGCAGTGCTGGGCAAGAGCTAAAGGGCCCCGGGGGGCAAGAGGCTGGGGCCAGACTCTGGTCAGTGGTGCCCAGCGACAGGACAAGGGGCAACGGGCACCAACTGGAACCCAGGCGGCGCCACCTGAGCAGGAGGAGAAACTTCTTTGGGGTGAGGGTGTTGGAGCCTGGAGCAGCTGCCCAGAGAGGCTGTGGAGTCTCCTGGAGAGATCCCAAACCCTCCTGGCTGTGACCCTGGGCACCCTGCTGGGGGTGAGCTGCTGGAGCAGGGGGTGGGATGAGATGATCCCCAGAGGTCCCTCCCAACCCCACCATACTGGGATTCCCTGACAAACAGCTCAGCAGATGTCACTGTGGGCAGCAGGACAGAGGTTGGTACATCTCCCTGCTCATCCACACCCTTTAACCACCCTTCCAGGAGGCTGCTGCTTTAAGCCAAGGAGCCCCTTATCCTGGCTCTAAACCCCCACACCCCTCCTTGCCCTAGGAGCCCAGGGGAACACCGTGGTGCCCCCCCCCAAGGGCAGCTCTGCCCAGGGGGGTGGCTGCTCCACGCCAGGCCCACCTTGGCACTGAACTGGTTGAGCTCTCCACTCTCGTGCCCTGCAATGATGAACTCCCCCAGGGGGCCCCACACAGCACTGGTGATCTTGGAGTCACTGCAGGGGATCTTCATGTAGGGCTCGTTGTTCTCTGCAGGCAGGAGGGGCCAAGACAGACAGACAGACAGACAGAGAGAGTGGCACCAGCTCTGGGGATCACCACATCCCCTCCCCTCCTGGCTCCTCACCGATCTGGCTGGGGTCCCTGAGGTCAAAGAAGCTCACAAAACACTGGTAGCCCATCTGCTTGTCCGTGGAGAACATGATGATGTTTCCTCCAAAGTCGAAGCCACACGTCCTCACTGCTGAGCTGGTCTTCACCAGGGCCAGCTGCTTGCCTGCAGACACACAGAGCAGCCCAGGGGAGCTGGGGAGCAGCCCCAGGGACCTGCAGGATCCAGCCCCACCTTTGGACCCCTCGGGTGGGGAAGTGAAGGAATTTGGGGAATAGTCAGAGGCTGGGAGGCTCCTGCAGGGGCAGGGTTGAGGTGGCCAGGGGTTAGGCAGGGG